AATTCAACAAAATAAGGCATTTTAGATCTCCAATGGATTGATGAATGGAAGACAATCGTGGACAATCCTTGAGTATTAGGCTTTCAAGATTTGGAAAATTTGAAAAGTCAGGTGTTTGCCTCAGGTAATAGGAATGACTTAAATTGAGAATTTTCAACACCTCGAACAACTAGAAGAAAGAAATGTTATTAGATAAATTTAAATATAACAGGAAAATGAAATAAGTTGCAATAGAAACAATTATTATCAATAACTTTGAATTCTAAAAGATCATGTGAAAATACCTGGCACTTCTCCCACAAGCGGGTGAGATGACTATATTTTAAGTCAATAGCAATAACATTTTCTAGATGAAAACTCTCAGGCATGCAACTCAAAGGAAATCCATGCCAGCAGAGCCATCGCAGCTCTTTTGATAGATATTCGTAGTTCCCATCAAGTTTTACACGGCCAAGCTGAAGCAATCTAAGTCTCGTCATCATCTTAAATGCAATTGTATCAAAGGACAGCATGTTGGTGTTTGACAAATTCAAAGCCAATCCCTTAATAGACCTTGTTCCCTATGATACAAGATCAGGAAATGATGAAAATGAAACATAGCTCATTAGATTATTGCGTTTGAGTAATGTGATAATGGATTGAAATCAATATTTGACAACCATAAATAATGCATAAGGTTATTGAACAAAAAAAGTTTATTGTTCTAATAGGAAATAATAAATTATTAAGGAGGTTATTACCATATGATTTGTTAACACTTCAACCACATCTTTATGAAACCACAATCTGGTACGATTCTCAGGCTCATTTGGTGACATTTCACGAATGATCTCTCGTCCCATGTCACGTAGCAAACCATGCGTATCAAGCTTGTTATTTTTGTCTACTTTTACAAGGTTCAACTCTATGAGTCGAGTGATTCCAATTTCTGCATGTAGTCCACAGCCATCCAATATTTGTGCAGTATAATTTCTATCCCTTCCAATGAAAAAACAACATATATCCAAGAATATTTCTTTCTCCTCATCATTACTCAAACCATCATAGCTTATTTTTAGCTTTTTATGTATTTGATCATCTGGAAGTGCTTTGAGTCTATCTAAAACACTTTCCCAAGCTTTTACTGGCCTATCAAACAAATAAGAGCCTAGAACTTCAAGCGCTAGTGGTAGACCTTCAGAGTAAGCAATAACCCTCCTTGAAAGTTCATTAAAATCTTCTATTGGGTTTGCTTGCTTAAATGCATGCCAACTAAAAAGTTCAAGAGATTCATTACCATTCATTTCTTTCATACTATATACATTATCAGCTTGAAGGATCCTAAGCAGATGCTCATCTCTGGTAGTGATGATTATTCTACTGCCTGGACCAAACCATTCACGACTTCCACACAAAACACCTAAGTTGGGCCACATTATTGATATCATCTAGGACAATAAGTGCCTTTTTATGACAAAGCCTTTCTTTTATTACAACTTTTCCCAATTCAACACAATGCAGTGCGATCTTTTTTGTCTGTAAAACGTCAGAAAGAAGTTGTTCTTGCAAAAGAACTTGGCCATTTTCTTCTTCCCAAGCTTTTCTAATGTTTGTGAGGAAACTTTTTGCCTCAAAGCTTTGACCAATTTCATTATAGATAGCTTTGGCAATGGTTGTTTTACCGATTCCCCCCATGCCAGAAATCCCCACTATCATAATCACATTTGATTCATCGCCCAAGAACTGGATGATTTCTTGCATGCGAGAGTTTACTCCCACAGGATGATGAGCAACAAATAAATATGTGTTGTCATATAACTTTGTGGTGACAGTTTCAATAACGTGGTTAATCAACTCAGCATCAGTTCTAACCACAAGAATACAAAAGTCAAGTAAATAGAAGATAAACTTAGAAAGGAGCAATATATATATGAATACTCAATTTATGATTTCAGCTTAATTTTAAATGTTCTCCAACATGTAGATAAATTATCCAATGTAAGAAAGTTGAATAATGTTGATCTTACAATAATTGTCTCAGTTCATTTCGCTTTATATGTCAATCTTGAAAAAGAAATTAGCTCACAACACACCCTATACTGCATGAAAAGATTAGATCACACAGTGACTATCAAAACAAATTAGTTCATAGTCAACAAAATACGGATGTCCATGTATATCAAGGTGACACACGCTCGAGCAAGTAAGAAAAATGTAATTGCAGACTGACAAGGGTTTCTTGAAGAGAACCAAATTGTATAGAAATTTTAAACTTTTCATCAAGAAATACTGGCTTGAATTTTAAGCTTAGCTTAAGTAGCCACTAAATGAAATAGTTTAACCTTTAATACTATGTTCTCTTTATCAACATAAATCAGATTACTTCTAAAAGGAGTGAGAGAGTATAAGAATAACGTATTACCTATGATGACCAGAGTACCAACCAGATAAATTGGCAGCTTCATTAAGCGCTCTCCTCCAATTGAATTCCTTGTCTTTGCTAGTTGAAGTTTTCCTCACGAGTCCTTCCAATGCTTTTCCAAAAGAGCCAATTTGCTTACGCACATCTGATGGCTGGACACCATAGAATATAGGCAAGACCTCTCGACCACCAGTTCTGTGACACTCCATGATTTTCTCTAATTCTTGCAAGCACCATCTAGAGCCAGCATAATTAATTGAAAAAATAATGATTGACATTCTGGAATTTTCAATTGCTTGTCTTAGTGTGGATGAGATATTTTCTCCCCTTCTAATCCCATTATCCATGAAAGTTTCAATGCCTACATTTTTCAATGCGATGTGAAGATGACTCGTAAAAGATTTGCGTGTATCTTCACCCCTAAAACTCAAGAACACATCATAGACATATTTGGATTTTGGCTTCTTAGGATTGATTCCTTTTCCAATCTCTTGCAGCAACTCATGCATGCCCAATTTATTATTCATGTCAACTTTTACAAGGCTTTGCTCGATGAGCATTCTTATTCCACTTTCTATAGGAATTTTGAAGCTGTTTAATTTTTGCATGACGTCCTGTTTTTCCTCACCCACATAAAAGCAAGCAATATTAAAGAATAAATCTTTCACTGAAGCATCCAGATACTCCCAGCTTATTTTGAGTTTCTCTTGTATTTGACCAGTGGGGATGCCCTTTAATTTCATCAATACACTTTTCCACTCTGGTTTTGTCTTATTGAACAAAAGAGAGCCAAGCACTTCAAGAACCAGCGGCAACCCTTCACAGTAAGTAATTATAGTTTTTGCAAGCTTAACGAAACCATCTCTAGGACTTGAATGTTTAAAAGCGTTCCAGCTGAAAAGCTCAAGAGATTCACTATTGTCAATTCTTTTCATTTCAAAGAAATATTTGTCATTGAGTTCATCGAGTATCTGCTTATTTCTTGTTGTAATGAGGATCATACTCCCATAACCAAACCATTCACTGTTTCCACATAAGGCCATGAGTTGCTCTGTTTCGCTTATATCATCGAGTATTATAAGCACCCTTTTATTGTGCAGTGCTATCTTTATTTCACTAACTCCCCTTTCAATATCAACTATCTTCTCATCTTCTGGATAAGAAACATCTGAAAGAAGTTGTTCTTGTAGACAAACAAGACCATTGGCTTTTCCTGATACACTTTGTATATTTTCAAGGAAACTCCTACTCTCAAAACTACCTCCAACTGTATCATAAATAGCTCTAGCAAGAGTTGTTTTACCAATTCCCCCAATTCCCCATATGCCTACTATGATCACTTTGTTTTCTAGAGGAACAATATCTTTTGAATAGTAGTTGGTCAACTGAAGCACTTCATTCACACGAAGTTGTATACCCGGTAGACCTTGCGGGATATCTAAGCAGGTCTTGTCCAACTCCTTCTTAATGTGTTGGGTGATTTTTCTTATCATGGTGATGTCACTGCTCAACAAAATAAATTTATAATCAGGGGGCCAAAAGTAGCTTAAATTAAATGAACATCATACCAAAAAATGTCAAAATCATGTTTTCTGTTAATAAATGTTTTCTTTGGAGAGCCTTGGGAGTAGAAAAAGAAGGAAATTACAAAAGTATCACTTCAATCAAAATTCTTTAATTATTCGGATTATATTCTTTTAATCAGATCCAATATGATAAAAATTACTGCCTCTGCTCCTAAATATCACTTTATTCTTATTTATAAGTCACTTGTAAAAAAAATTTCTAAATATGAGTCGCTTAAGGAAATTAATGTATATTTTTCTAATTTTACCCCTATTGACTTAATATATGCCGAGAGAGAAAACGTAAAATGGTGAAAGAAAATATAAAACTGTTAATACATTTTCCTTAATAAAGGCAAATATGAAAAGAAATTATAAATTTAATGCATTTCTGGTGTCATTATTCCCACTTCCGCGGCTATTGGTATGCACTTTTACCTGATATGGGAAGCGGCATCCGTTGATGAATAGTTATACAACTAATTGTTTTACACTTCTTACTTGATGTAGCTTGTTACATGGGTCGACTTAAGGTACAAATAACTTATAAATAGAGATAAAATAGTATAAGAGTTAGTTTGTTGTACAACTTGCACTACAAACTAGCTTTTATGTTTAAGAGTGAAGGTAGTATAGAATTACAAATAAATTATTGATTTAGTGCTTAGAAACTAATTTCTATGTGATATTTAAAAATTACTCTATTTTTAACTGGGCCCAAGAAAATTTATTTTATCTTAGTGAATAAAAAAATATAACTGTAGACTCTAGAAGATGCTGATAAAAAAATTAAAAATACAAAATTTAAATTATATAATTCCTACAGCAGGAACACAGTTACAATGAATCCCTTGAAGTGAAAAAATTTGTAAAATTTCTCGAAATAACTTGTTCTTGTGTGGAACTTATTATGACGGTTTCGTTTCTCGTTGGCCTCAATTTGTCGTAAGAGTTTAGACTTTAGATCATATTACGGAAAGCTTAAAAAAAACAAAAGAAAAAAAAAAGAAAGGGGAAAAAAACAGAAAAAATAGCCGTTAGTTGGAGCAATACAGTCTTTCCAAAAATACTTAAATGGAAGATACTTTTTTTAAAAAGGAAAGAGTTAATACAATTTTTGTTTTCCTTATTTTTATTTTTATTTTAGTTTCAGCCTCTCAATTTTTTCTCATTTAAAATATTATTTCTATAATTTAACAAAATTTTGGATTATTTTTCCCTTCAAGATATATTTAAAACTTAAAAGATTAAAATCAAAATAAGAACAATTTTAATAAATCAAAGATTATATTAAAAAGAATCACAAAGCCATAAAAAATACTGAATGCAAGGAACACGGTGCTTAATTACCCAGAAGTTGAGACCTTCCAGCCGAACAAGGGCGCTCCCCAAAGAAAACCTCCCATGCTCCCCAATGCTTTGTGGGTCGGCAAACCGTCTGCAAATCCGCCACTCTGGGCGCGGGCTTCCAACGGACTCAAACCACAGTACACACCCAACACCGTTTTGCCCTTATTCTTATGACACTCCTTTATCTTTCGCAGTTTGCACACAAAATCTCGGGAAAGGAAGCATTTATCAGTGAAAACAATTATGACAATCTTTGACCGATCGATGGTTTCCATCAGGGTAGGGGTGATCTCTTCATTCTCGTCGATGAATGTTTTGATCGATGCAACTCTTAAGGAGAGTTGAAGAGAGGTTATTGATGGATATCTGGTTCGGAGAATCAAGAACACGTCGTGAATCATTAGCTCTCCTTGGGAACGATTGCAGATGAAGGGGAATTTGGTTATGCTGCTAAGCCAAAATTGAACTGATCCACCGTTTACATAGTAATTTGACTTGAGTAGTGGCACACGGTTTTTATGACAGCGACAGGATCATTTGTTTATTTGCAATTATTGAAAGTACTGATCCAACAAACCGAAGACTACACATAGCTTAATAATCAAGTCATGACAAAAAGTCACAGTCTCAACCTTGTCGCAACGTTCGAATTCGCTAAGAGCGGCCTGCATATAAAACTCGTATTAGCCATCCGTGAGATTGCAATCTTATCCGTTCACCGTTTCCCCAAAAACCTCAGCCATGTGTGTCGGCTGAAGCATACGGTCAAAGCGGAAAGGTCTACTCCCTTCGCTTTGCGAGAACATGATATCTAAACTGATCCTCGTGCTTACCGCTGCCTCTTCCCTAAATAAAAAAAAAAAATGCAAATTGGGACCCATGAGAACATGAGTACGGGCTTTGGCAACCATTTTTGTGAACGGGTCCTATGTGCAATTTTTCTACTTTTTTTTTGTAATTTTTCCTAAATTATTTTAAAGTATTTATATTTATTATTTTTTTAAAACTAATTTGCCTAACTTCTGTGTTGATATACTCATCTGGTTTTATTTATATGGTAGAGAGATAAAAATTTTATATAAATATACAATTTTATCCTTTATTTATTGTTCTCATGTGATATATTGTATATTAAATAAAGGGGTTAATTAATCTACAAATCTTTATAGTTTCAACGAATTTTGAATCAGGTCCCTATAGTTTTTTTTCTTTTTATTAGGTCCTTATACTTTTACCTTTTTTTAATTAGGTTCTTGTATTTATTTTTCTTTTAATTAAGTCCTTATAATTTCACTAAATTTTTAATCATATCCATGTAGTTTTAATTTTTATTTATTAATTAAATATAAGCTTAATTAAATAGATTAATACTGAAATATAAAATATTAATAATTAAATTAAATTAATAATTATGTAATAAAAAAGTAATAGAATTAATTAATTCAGGAAATTTTTTTAGAACAATTATTTTTTTTGCTGAAAAAATTAAAATCATTATAATAATTCAATATCTTTAGAATATTATTGTTTATAAACTAATATTAAATAATGTATACTATTTTATGTTTATATAATAGTACTATTAGAATTTATAAAATAAAAAATAAAAAATTCAGGAACTTAATTAAAAATAAGGTGAACTTATAAGGACTTAATAAAAAGAAAAATAAATACAAGGATCTAATTAAAAAAAGGTGAAAGTATAAGGACCTGATAAAAAGAAAAAAAACTATAAAGACCTGATTCAAAATTAGTTAAAACTATAAGGAGCTATGAATTAATTATCCCTAAATAAAGATAAAGTTAACAAAATTGTTAAATTTTAAATGTAAGTTAATGAAATTTGATATGTTTTTTATCTTTAGAAACATGTTGAAAATGATTTATAAATAAGATTTGAGGAGTATAATCTAAAGATATATATAAGTATTTTAATAATCAATTGCCCATGTCTTTGGTGAGATGAAAATCGGATACTTATCTACTTGTGGTTGCCAAGGACCTGTACGTCATGTGTTTCTTTCTCTCATTTAACCTAAGGATGTCGCCTCCAAATAATCCCTTTTCTCTTATTCCAACATATATATGCTAGCATTCCATCTTCAGTTTCCTTATTGAGACATCCATCTTCTAACTCACATTGGAAACAATGACCAAGTCACTAGTGATCTTTCAGGGCCTATTTTACAGGTTCTCTTCCTTTCTCTATATGTATTATCTCTAGTTTTATTTATAAGCTTTAAATTTGAAAAAATGTATAATCCACCTTATAAGGTTTAATTTAGCGTTTGTCTTAACATTTAATGCATTTTTTCAATTTTTTTCCTAATTATTCATTCTTTCTCTTTATCATAATCTCTTTTATCACATTCCCCCCCCACATTCTTTTTCTTTTTTTATTTATTATAAAGATATATTTGAAAACAAAAACATATTAATTTGAGTTGAGTATAAAGCTAATAATATGTGTTGAACCTGTAGGTCCAACTCGCCAAAAATGGCCGGTTACCACTACATCAAAAAATATAACCCGCACCACTATAACCTTAACCATTAGCGAGTCGGCCTACCAAGCAGCAAGCCAACTTGTTGGTCAACCCACCTATTTTTTTTCAAAAAAATAATGAAAGTAAAAGTAAAGCAGACTTTCACTTTAAACTTCATTGTCATTAGAAATAACTAGATAAAAATGGTTATCCAGTGTCGCTCGTTGGTTTCATTGGGAAAAAAAATGTGTGGACTTGTGTATCATATTGGAAATCAGACAACCATAGAATATTTGTATTTTATTGTGTTGTAATTTTTATTTGGATGTTTGCAATATTTTATATCATTTCTAGTGTTTTTATTTTTTATTATGTATAACTGGTAACATTTTTAGGGGAAAAAAAAAAAGGTTATTTTGGCCGGTTGGCCAACCCACCTTTAGCCAGCATGCCAATATAGGGACCCTTTGGACCCGCACTAAATAACCTGTAACCCGCCACGGCTTGCAGGATGGCCCGTATTATCATCCTAGGGCTTGTTTGAGTGGTTTCCAAAACCATGGTTTGGGTGGTTTCCAAAACCATGGTTTGGGTGGGATGTCACCTAAATAGCATCAATTTTGGACCAATAATCTAAAACCATGGTTTGGACCAAAATCATGGTTTTGGAACCCGAAACCATGGTTTCAGGAGAAGTGAATCCATTCTACTACTGGCTCAAATTGGAGTGTATGATTGTACCAATTAAAATAGATCTCAACAATAATATGACTTTAACATTCCTCAATTATTTTTTTAATAAACATATTTAATCTTATATCTTATAAACATATACACACATATTAATTATTTATTAATTACATTATCTTATGTATTATTAATTATGTTGGTAAAAAATATATTATTAATAATTTGATTCTTTCAAATTAAAATATATCATAAAATCTATCTTTTATGTAATTATCATATTAACTTTTTTTTTTAGTAATTTGTATATATAAAAAGTACTTCTGATAACAACTATCCAAACACTTTTACTTCTCAGAATCATTTGTTCACAAAATCTATTCTTTACAAAATCTATTCTTCTTAGAATCTATTTTCCAAAAGCTATTCTTCAAATCATGATTTGGTTTCATCCAAACAGGTATAGTTGAGTAGTCGCGCACGGTTTTCATGCAAGCCCCAATATGATTGTTTATTTGCAATTATTAGAAGTACTGACTCCAGCAAACCGAAGACCCGTGACAAACGCCGCCCAACATTCGAACTCGCTGTATTTTAAATTTTTCATAAGCAAAGCAGCCTGCATCTAAAACTCATCTTGGCCGTCCGTGAGATTGCAATCTTATCCGTTCATCCATTTCGCCAAAAACCTCATGGCTCAGGTCGTCTTCTCCCTGCACCCTTTGGACGAACTACTCATTTCCAGACATTATCCATTCCCAATAAATTCTCCATTAGACAATTCCACAATCTCCAAGTCTGTCGAATAAACTCCAACTCCTGGAAACAGTTCGGAATTGGATTCAACCCTCAGAGATATTTGTTTCAGCTGAAGCCTACTGTCAAAGCAGAAAGGCCTCCTTTCACCAAAAAAAAAAAAAAAAGGGCAGAAAAGCCTCCTCCCCTCACCATGCGGAAACATGATAGCTAAACTGATAATCCTACTTAGTATTACCTCAATCAACTAATTTGGAGAGATTAAAAAATATTTATATGTATTGTTTTTCTCCAAATTAATTTATCTCACTCATTCGATATAATAGTACACCAAATATTCTAGAGAGATGCTATAATTTTTAATAATCAAGTGCTCATCAAAATTGGATATTTATCTATTTGTGGTGATCAAGGACTCGCACGTCATGTGTTTCCTTCTCTTGTTTGGTCAAGGATGTCTCCAATGAACAATCCTCTTTCTCTTATTCCAACATATGCCAGCATGCAATCTTCAATTTCCTCATATATATATATGTATATATATATATAAAGAATTGCAGTATCCCTAGTCCTTCATGGATTCATGACAACCTTCCAAAGCCACAAAGCCTTTTATTGGAATGCGCATCACAGAATATAATGGCGATGAGGTAAATCAAAGTGCCGCAAATATCTGGGATTCCTTGTATGCCACATGTAGTAGGGACATAGCAAAGACACCAAAATTCTCAAAAATCTTGGAGATTGTATCTTCTGT